AGTATGCGTGCGTGCGTGCGTGGAAAAGCGCGTCCTGTGCGTGCGTCAACAAAACAAAAACGAGAAAAAAAATAGAGCAAAAGAATATTATATATACTATATACGATACATATATAAATTATTTAAAAAGGGAGCGATCGCAGCGCAACTGCGATGCTCGTCCTCTCTTCGCTAACATCACGTGTTTTCTATAAGATCATTGTTTTTTTTTTTATTTGTTTATAGGAACTTGTTGGTTTGAGATTTTCTCAGAGTCATTTTTCGCGTACTCTAAGCGCATCTCTCTCTCTCTCTCTCTCTTTCGATCGATCGATCGATTTATTGATTGGCGCGGACTCGAACGTTTCAGCAATGAGACGCCGATTCTCAGAGTGCTTGTAACGCGCTCCTGTTTCTTATCGTCTTAAGTTCCCTCTAGTTGCGTACAAATACGTACTAATTACGGATAAAGGAACAAAGATTAAAGAGATTCAAGTCGATCCGAGATTCGGGTATTCGATTTCCTATTAGACAGTTTTAAGATTTTTCGTTGATTCTCTTGCGAATCAACAGGGTGAGATTACTCTCGTTGTCGAGCCTTCCGACATTCGAGCTCACCAACACCACGTCGTTCTCGATTGTGACGGAGGACGTGTGTACTTGGAATAGAAACCAAATTGTTTTTCTTTCTTATAGATTAATGAATTTATATACATGTATAGGCCGCACGATATAATTTACGTAGCGCGTAATCGCGAACATGTAATGAGGGAGAAGGAAAGAGAGACAATGAGAGGAACAACAATCTCTCGTTTTATCGTTCTTATCGTCGTTATACACCGCACGGTTGCTTTTGCTCACACCGTCACACCTTTACTTTGTATCCGCGCGTTTTCCTCACCCTCGACATCGTCTCGCATTATTGGGACACTTCGTTGTCGCGAACGATTCCCTTCTCTTCGGCCGTGCGCGCGACCAGGGCTCGTTCTTCTTTGCCTTCTTTCGTTTCTCTCTCCCTCTCTCTCTCTCTCTCTCTGTTTTCCGTTTTTAATTTTTCCTTTCCGTGCTTTTTTTTACGTTGCGCTCAGTTACGCCGCTGCCGCAACCTCGGGCCCGGTCGCGTCGCGGCCGTGCGACAAGTCCTTCGATTATGTGCGGTGGACGTAACGATCCGGGGCCGACGTCGAATTTGCCAATCGATCGGAATCGTCCTGTTGTCTCGTGGACAAGACGTGTCACGATCGTGGGAGCTCCTCTTTCTCACTCTCCAATTTTCTCCTCTCCCTCCCCCCCTCTCTCTCTCTCTCTCTCGGAAGTTGAAGACATTTCTGCTGTACCGGTCACCAAGGAAGACCGGCGTTCGTTCTGTCGTGAGTGTCGACGACGGCCACCCGCGATATCGTTACGTCGATCCGGCGCAAAAGTGCGCGCGTGTGTTCGTACCGCTTCTCTTGTCTCGAGTGCGAGCGATGAAGAAATATAGAAAGAAAGAAAGAAAGAAGGCAAGAAGGAAAGAAAAAAAAAGAAGCAAAACGATATAGAGCCTTTTCTCTCTCGGCCGATCCGCGGCCGAACGCGAAGGAGGAGGAGAAAGATCGATTATGCTAAAGTAAGCGATGCGCAATTAACTATACGAATTGATGTAAGCGAATGGAAAAATTAATACTTTTCATTGAGATGATATCTGGATTTCAATAAACTTGATACCTCGACACACCACCTCGCTCACTTCGCTCTTGTTTTTCGGGAACGCCGGCGACGGGATCGAGCGCTTTCAGCCAGCGATATCCGCTCACGCTCTCGTCTCGCCGATGGCGTTTCCTTTTTTTTTTGTATCTCTACGCTGTAAGGCTTTTCTCGCCTTAGGAAGGTGCTTTACGATTGTGGCGATCGTGTCCCTCCGATCTCGCGAGATTTCTCAGAGATCGACAACGATTCGTTCGTTCTCTTCTCTCCCGTGAATCTTGCGCTGACGAAACGAGAAGAGAGAAGAACAAACGAATTTTCCCGGTCGATCCTGACTGAATGTTTCGTCAAAGTAAAGCGTTGCATTGGATAAAGAATGTAAAGATTGCTGAAGAAATCGCAAGTTCGTCGAGTCAAGTCGAGTCGACAACGATGAGAGGTGTGTATTCTCTCTCTTTCTCCCTCCCTCCCTTTCTCTCTCTCTCTCTCTCTCTCTCTCACGGACGACGAGAGGTGTACATTCGCGATTTTGCGATTTCGCGATCGCCAAAATCGATTCGTGAAGAAGCCGGCCTGAAGCGGATAGAAACAAGAGCAAAGGTAAATCGCATGTACCTTCAGAAGATACATCTGACGCGGGAAAGACGCGGGAGACAACCGTGATCGTTCGCCGACACCGGACATCCCGACGATGTTAAGCTTCTCCTCCTCGTAGAAGTCGATACCGAAATGTGAGTAGATATATATGTGTATCTGTATGTGCACGCATATATACAGGGTGTTTCTCGGTTTCGGCTCTCGCAGGATCGTTGTCTTCTTCTTTCGCAGCGCGTAATGATTTTACCAAGAAGGAAGAAAATTCACCGTCCTCCACACGTTCGCCCGCGAAGCTTAACAAGTTGAAAGCGAAAAGACACTCTGTATATTTGAATATAATTTTTTATCGATTCCTTCGAGAGAACGAAGCTATTGTTCAAAAACATTTAAATCGATAAGCGTCGAGGCAAAAGTCAAGTTTTAAGTAAGAATGGGACGAACAACTTCCGAGATAAAAAGCTGTGATAAAAAATTATAATTATGAACCGTCAAATTTAATTTCCCTTTATTACGCGCCTTGTGCTATTTTTATTTATGTATGTGTATATCAATGTGAATGTGCGGGGCAAATCTTTGTAAAACGAATGTTTAACGTGTTGTCTAATGTATGTGTATGTGTCTAAATAGGTGTAGAAGAGTTAATCGCTAGAAGTAGGGAATACTCTAAAATTGAAAGCTTATAATTCGCTCTCTCGTTCGCACACACACACACACACACACACACACACACACACACACACACACACACACACACACACACACACACACACACACACACACACACACACACACACACACACACACACACACACACACACACACACACACACACACACACACACACACACACACACACACACACACACACACACACACACACACACACACACACACACACACACACACACACACACACACACACACACACACACACACACACACACACACACACACACACACACACACACACACACACACACACACACACACACACACACACACACACACACACACACACACACACACACACACACACACACACACACACACACACACACACACACACACACACACACACACACACACACACACACACACACACACACACACACACACACACACACACACACACACACACACACACACACACACACACACACACACACACACACACACACACACACACACACACACACACACACACACACACACACACACACACACACACACACACACACACACACACACACACACACACACACACACACACACACACACACACACACACACACACACACACACACACACACACACACACACACACACACACACAACACACTCTCTCTCTCTCTCTCTCTCTCTCTCTCTCTTTCTCTCTCTCTTTCTATCTCGCTTTCGTGGTTCAAACAACACTTATCACGTTAAAACATTGCTACATATTTCAATTACGTAAGAAACACATACACACACACACAGTTTTCTTCGAACGTTGCGATTTCTCCGATATCCGAACAGAAACTTAAATTTACTGGTACAACTCGGTAAACAACATAGCGATGTTGATGTATCGTCTAATCCAATTGGCAGGAATTCGATCAGTTCGGCCCGAATTTTTCTCAGATACCGCACGTGTCTGCTCTTTTGTCTGCAATTTTCTACTTCCTCTCGGCTTTCCGTCATATTCATCGCCCGTTTCATTTCATGCGCGGATAAAAAGAATATGATATACCGGAAAAAAAAATATATTTTTTCGATTTAGAGGCGAGCTGCGCTTGTTGCGTTGCTCCTGCCGTTTTTTGACCTGCGGATGACCCAAACTTCTGAGCGTGTCGGAGCATCTCGAAGAATTCTCCATCAGCAGTAACGGAGCAGCAACGGTCGCAACAAGAACACGGCCTCGTTCATCATTTTATCCGCGCATCTTTACCGATAATAACGAATGATAAGAACCAGTTGTTCGTGTAATACGTTCAATTTCAATTTAACTGATCGAACCGAAGTTTATTAAGAATTTAACAATCATTTTTTTCTTCTTTTTTTGCGAAAACCGCAACTTTGTCAGGGAGAATGAGGGCAGAGGTAAGTATCGCTGTCTTTACCGATTAATTATAAAGAATTCAGCGAAGTATATCGTATTACTAAACGTTTGCTACGCATCGCGTCACTTTTTTGCGATAGTACTGCTTTCGACGCGAGGAAAGATATGCACTTATGAAAGATGCCTTGTTATTACGTGTCTCACGTGCCTGTTTGCACGCCGATCAAAATTTTTCGCCTTGCTGAGACGACGAGACACGAATTGTGTCGAGACGTATTCACACGATCGTGTCTCTCGATCAAATAGATCGCTACAAGCATTCGCGATCGATAGCGAGGGAAATCCGGGTATATGTGCACACATAAGCGATTTCGACGGAAAGACCGGCGGAAAAATCGATCTCACGATTAGGAAAACAGAGAAAGAGAGAGAGAGAGAGAGATAGATAGATAGATAGATAGATAGAGAGAGAGAGAGAGAGAATGAAATATAATATAACAATAATTATTATATAAAAACGGGGTAGAGAGAGAGAGAGAGAGAGAGAGAGAATGACGCGAGAGGCGAGACGCCTGGTGATCACCCTGGTGACCCTGACCGCGCCTTCTCAGGGTAGCACCGAAGGGTGGTCGTCGAACGCAAGAACAGCGAAAGACGAAACTCCCAGCTACATTATTCCTAACGTTGTTTTCTCTTTCAGACTCCGACAACGAGACCGTAATGTCGCCGAAGACGAAGCAGAAAGCGGCGCTGCGCTGCGACCGCGCCGAGCAGCAGCGTCTGGAGCAGATTCAGGCGGAGAGCGCGGCTTATTACGCTTACAAGCTCGACGAGTCGGACACGTCCGCGAGCACCACGACCACCGCCAAGCCTAACTGGCACGGTAGGAGACATTTGTTGAGCATCGTCAACGACAAGCAGCCGGAGAAAAATATGGACTTCAAGATCCTCACCCTCGCGGAGATTCGAGAGAGGAGGGAAAGAGAGAGGCTGGCTGCTGCAGCCGATGTTTTGGCATCGGACGACGCGTCCCAACCCATGGAGGATATGGAACAGGTGCCGACGGGCTCCTCCAGTGACTCGATGTTCGCGATGCCGACCGAGCCAGCGACCGAGAAGTCGAGCGAATCGGTGACTCAGAGGCTCGCATCGGGGAAACGTAAACTCGGCGAGACCGAGTGCAAGCAGTCCACAGCTCCGGTGAAACTGCGAAGGTCCCTGGGAAGAAGCACGGAAGTCGAGCCACCTGTCGAAGCGGCGGGACGACCTCGCGACGATCAGCTGAGCGAGGAGCAACTGAACAACGAACTGTTCAACAACAGGCAGCTGAACGAGGAGTGCCAGGTCGACGAGTACATCAGGCTGGACGCGACGTCCGAGGATATAATCAAGGACATAGACGACTTCCTCGTGTAGAGAATCGTACGAGAATCGGGAGTTGTACATAACTCGCGTTATGTTGATATCGGAGGTGTAGCATGAATTAAATAGATTACATAAATTGTAGGAAGGGGGGTGTAGTATGATTGCACTACCGGCGGGTAGTTTCCGGGGTGTGGCCTCGCGGACGCGATGTTACGAGATTTTTGCGTATTCTCACATCGGAAAGGAAAGAAGAAAGGAGGAAAAATCGAGAAACAATGAGAAAGTTGCGAGGAGCGTAGAGGAGGAAGAGAAGGAATTGGAGGAGTTTGTATAGAACGTTCGTCTTCTGTGATACTCTTTCGCTGGAGGCCGCTATATATAAGCATCGCAATGTTGTCGCGGTATTTCACGAAATATATATATATATATATATATATATATAAATAAATATTTATTATATATATACATATATATAAATAAATATAAATATATATATTTGTTGGCATATATATCCGTCGAGACAGTTGAGATGCTAATGTTACGCTGTATCTGTGTCTTCGCTCAGGTAACTTTGTGTATAGCAGCCTTTAGCAGTCGCGCACCAGGTGACACGAAGAGGTGCGGGCGGCTGGAGTCACTATCGCAGAATCCTCTAAGCGAGAGTAAATTATAGTGACGAACGCCGAAGAAGCGGTGGCCGGTACGACGCATTCCGCGCGTTCTGTACGAACGAGCGCGGCCGGTGCGGCATCATCCTTCTCTCGACGAGTGAAGTGGCTACATTATTTTTATTACTTTATTATTTTTATTACTTTTATCGTCGTACCTTGTACGTTTTTTTTAAGGTAGCTAAGTAATTAACTAGAAAGATAGCCAGTAAAATAGCGCGCTCTGAGAACGTTCTCGATTCAAGAAAATGGTGAGTAATTAGAGCCTGAGGAATTATGTGAGAATGATTGAAAGTATGCTACCCGCAGCCTTAGAGTGTGTGCATACTAGAGGAAACGTGGCTGCATTTTGCACTGTGCGCCCGACTTCGCGGGAGATATCGCGAGAATAGATAAATAGATAGGTATTATCGCGCACGTGTGTGCGCGCGCACGTTTCGGATACGATCTCGTGATAATGCTCAGAGAGAGGGATTATATATCAGTATATACATAATGTATAATTGCACACTAGTATATGCATTCTAAGATCCACAGTAAGTTTCTGGTGTGAGACTCCCGCGCGCTTAACTCGATGCCAAATTTTTATACATTATCCGCATTTTAGGAAATGTATAAAACACGACATAGATATATAAATAATATCGCGGTTTTAAGCTTCAAGCATGTTCTTGTAAATAATGCAGTTCTCTCAATCTTACCGGTACAATTCACAGAGAATTTATTCGTGCGAACGTCGTCGACTTCAATCGACTTGTTCCGTCGTATTATGTAAATAATAATTACAATTACCGCGTTTAAATTATAGGTATCGACAAATATAATTACTAAACTGTAAATCGACAAGAGACAGACGACATGAGAGTTTTTCTCGAAATAATTAAGTGATCACCGTTTAAAACAATTCCGTGGGTTGGACAGATATTTACTGTACGACGCGAGAATCCGAAGTGGTAATCTTCTAATTATCTTGTGAACGTCGGTTGATTTTTATCATAGAGAATTATTTTAACTGAGTTTACAGAAGTAGGAACGTCACAAAAATAAATGCACATTGTTGTTACGAAATATTACATCTTTTTGTAAGTTTTTATATACTTAGTATAAATTAATCTATACTGAAATTAATGAAATTGCAATAAATCATTGCGAATATAGGAAGGTTTGATTATAAGTGTCTCGGAGTTAATTGTAATTAACTGACAAACTGCAATAGAATTCTAGTTTGAATGTATAAAATACAGTGTCTTTCTTCTCGAATGGAAATTAAGCTGAGATAAATATATGATTGTTATACTTTTGCAAAAAGTAATGATGTCTTCATTGTTTACCGTTTCCTTTCATGTCGCATTTACTCCATGAAATATAAGATTTTCCTCTTTAATTTGTATATTTGCACATTCCAATGCGATTTCTTTTTAACCGAGCTTTTAAACGTTGAAGAAAAAACCATCTTATTTGCTTTGATCGCTTATAATAAACGCTTATGAATAAACAGTGACTCTTTTAAGTTTAATCGTTCACAAAAGCTAAACGAATTACCGTAGGAAGTTCGTTAGAAAATGAATAGAAAACTAAAAGTTTCTCCTTTAAGATGCATGAATCGCATTTTTTATGCAAATTATATATCGATGTAAAAACTGAGTTCAAAGGTGAAGTTGAAAACCGAACTGTCGTCATTTCTAATTTAACTCGTTGTAGTTCGGGAAACAACTAATAATAACGTCACGAAATTAATACGTCTGAAAAATAGAGACTTCAAGCTTTAAAATGCTTTTTAAACCATCCTCTTATCGTTATTTTTACGGAAGTTATAGCCAGTTGAATTTTGCCTGTGTTTTAATACAAGGAAAAAGTACGGTTGACAATTCATCGTGTCGTACTACTTAAGAAGTGCTACTCATCTTCAGGCGGCTGACACTACTGTTGAGTTGTATCACGACCACAATTCGCCAGTAAGTACGGTGGCGGCTCGTAGCGGAAACTTTGGAACTAAAGTTTGGCAGAAATAATGGATCCGATAATTCTACCTGACTCCTCAGGGGTTCCTTATTTAAGGGGTCTCAGGAATTGTCCTAACATCCCTGACAAAGCGGTTTTCGCAAAAAAAAGAAGAAAAAAAAATGATTATTAAATACTTAATAAACTTCGGTTCAATCAGGTAAATTGAAATTGAACGTATTGCACGAACATCTGGTTCTTATCATTCGTTATTACCGGTAAAGATGCGCGGATAAAATGATGAACGAGGCCGTGTTCTTGTTGCGACCGTTGCTGCTCCGCTACTGCTGATGGAGAATTCTTCGAGATGCTCCGACACGTTCAGAAGTTTGAGTCATCCGCAGGTCAAAAACGGCAGGAGCAACGCAACAAGCGCAGCTCGCCTCTAAATCGAAAAAATATATATTTTTTTCCGGTATATCATATTCTTTTTATCCGCGCATGAAATGAAACGGGCGATGAATACGACAGAAAGCTGAGAGGATAATTCCTAAGACCCCTTAAATAAGGAACCTCTGAGGGGTCAGGCAGAATTATCGGACCCGTTATTTCTGCCAAACTTTAGTTCAAAAGTTTCCGCTACGAGCCGCCACCGTACTTACTGGCGAATTGAGGGCGTGATACAACTCAACGGTAGGGTCAGCCGTACTTTTTCCTTGTATTAAAACAGGTAAAATTCAACTGGCTGTAACTTCCGTAAAAATAACGATAAGAGGATGGTTCAAAAAGCATTTTAAAGCTTGAAGTCTCTATTTTTCAGACATATTAATTCCGTGACGTTATTATTAATTATTTCCCGAACTATATCGAGTTAAATTAGAAATGGCAGTTCAGTTTTCAACTTCATCTTTGAACTCAGTTTTTACATCGATGCTGTGCAAATGCTGTGCAAGAATAACTGGTCTAATATGTTACGAGTGTTTAAATACAATAGACCCATTATGAGTTCATTTTTATATATTTTATACAACTAAAAGCGAACATCATTGGAATAATGTGAACGAAATTTTCATTAGAAAATAAATATTAAAAGAACTCTCGTTTAAATGCACACACTATTTATTTAGAATGCATAATCGTACGCTTAACATACCTGGCCTAAGGGAAATCACAATCGGCGTTTTCGGTCATTCTTCTTTTATTTCTCATTCTCTCTTCCTCTCTCACTTTTCTCTCTCTCTCTCTCTCTCTTGACCTTGCACCGGATATAAATTAGAACGAATTGATTTTTTTCAAATACTTAGAGAATTAGAATCAACTATATATATATATATAAATGACCGTCGATATTCTTACGATGTACACACAACAAACTCACGTTTATTATCTCTTGGCTCCATTCGTTACACGAGTATAAATAATAACGTAATACCGACTTAGAAACTATTTTATTTCTTCTTCTTCTTTCTCTCTCTTTTTCTCTCATACACACACACACACACATACATATACGTGCGCGCACATACACACACATTCTCTCACTTTCTCTCTTTCGATTTTTCTATAGAAGTTATATCTACGAACCGTTGCGAAGAAAAATTTCGCGAGAATTCTCAGGAGCGTGATTTTCTTCCACTGATTTTTCATGCTAATTAATTTTTTACATAAGTTGCACATTGCCGACGATTCATATTTTTTTCTCTCTACTGTTCCACTTTTCTCTTTCTTTCTCTCTCCCTCTCTCTTTCTTTCTCTTTTTTCTAAACGCGTCTCAACCTCGCTCGGCTATATTTGATAGATATCGCAGCCGAAGGAATGATTGTACGAATGAAAATGAATTTGTGAAGCGCAGACACGCGAGTGACGTTTCGTACATAAACACTATGCCGATTATCGCCATGTCAACGTGTCATGCGAAGAACACAAGTTACGCCGTTGATCTACTCGTCGATTAACAATCGTATTAACATATCTCTCTCATAGAGGCTATTTCTGCATGTTATTCGGATCTCGGTGCGGCATCGAAATGAAGAGGGGAAGCGTCCGGTCGTGCATCGCGATGTCGATGTTGTTGGCGAAAGCGAAACGGCGGGATATCCGTCCCATAATAACAAAGGGATGCGATCGAGAATATTAATTGGAAGCGTGAGCGTTAATTTTCAGCATCAGGACACAGTGATTGAATTCGACGGTAAAATTCGCGATTATACGCATACGGAAATCGTTCAATCTCCGTCTGTAATCCAATTTGAAGTAATTTTCATTATAAAGAGTTCGCAAGAAACAAAAGTGACGGCCGCGCGCAGACGGACGAAATCAAGCTCGATTTCCGTGCAAAGCGTCGATAATCGCAAACGTAAACATAGTAACGGGGATGACACAATCCGCCTCGATTTACATCACGGCGAACGAGAGCGTAACGCGCAGGATTCTTGAGGTCTTCTGAAATAGCGCTCGCTCGCTCGCTCGCGAATCGCGCAGACTGGGAAGAAGCTCTACGGAGACGAGGTCGACGTCGACGACCACCACGGTCACTGCAGCCTCGGCGACCAATATTGCGCGGCCATGTCGGGTGCCGGTTGACCTGGTACCGCGATCGGCACGCTCACGCCGGGTGATATCAGACCTGGAAGAGAATTCGCGAGATTTTAATTCAGGCAATTCCACGTGCACGAAGTCGGGGAAGCGAGGTTGGCTAAGTATAAACATACAACGCGCGCGACTGCATCGTATTCGCGGATTACCTCTCAATGGACGCTTCAAATTCGCTTCGATTTGATTCCCCAATATGTGTGCGTCATCACGTAAGAAAAGAGGAACGACAGTGTTCGCGATTCGTTTCTATCGAGACCTCGACTTGTTTCTACGTCACGTTGTATTTTGCCACGGAGAAAACACGTTTTGCCGTAACAGCAAATTGTTTGGTAGTACAGTGACAGCAAAAAGATTTGTTACACGGAAAATATAATTTTGCTGTTGTAGCGAAACCTGTCGGCATAACTAAATTATTTTGCTATACATATATCCAGCAAACAAGCAACAGTAACAAAACTTGTCTCCTCCATGTGTGTTCCGTACTTGCCGTTAAATGGAATGAAGCGAGCAGCAAGAATTCCAAAGACGTATTAGTATAAGAAAACAGACACGCGATCTCTTTCGCGCGAATTCGCCGAAATATCAGCCGGACTAGTGTTCGATACGCGAAGCTTGCAATTCACAGACACCGCGGCGAGGCTGAATCGCGTCCACCGATATTCACAGGAGGGGGAGACGCCGCGATAGTTCGTTGCTCGCTCAGGGTTTTGGATGGTGGCAGAAGCGTGTGTGTAATCCATTACCGGCGGCCTCGATAGCGTGTTATCCATGGTAGCCGTAGTAGTAGTCCATCGGCTAGAGTGCAAGCAGCGAATGCAGTGAGTGCGGTAGACACTCACCGGTCGAGCTGGCGTTCTGATTGTACTGATTGAGACCCGCCGTGTGGTAAGGCTGGGTCGGACTGCAGGTCGGCCTGGCGCCGTAGCCGAGATGCAGCGGCTCGTAACTCGGCGGTCTCGCGACCCCGCACGAATAGCCGTTGTCTCGTTGCTGAAGACACGCGCCCGGGCTCGGGCCGACGGTCATGCCGACGGTCATGCCCATAGGACTCATGCCACCGCCGGCCGACAGTGAGGACATGCTGCTGCTCGTGTGCTGGTTCTGTTGACTGGCGCCCGACATCGTGAAGCTCGGCATCGATGTCATCGGGCTGCAACGCGGAAGAACAAACCGTGTCAGAGTCGCGAACGTTTCGGGGAGAAAGAACATTTCGCTGGAACAGCAAATCGTTCGTCGATACAGCGACGGCAAAGGCAAATTTGCTTGGGTAGCGGAAAGATTTCTTGAGAGTATTCATTGCTACATGGATACCAAAGTAATTTAATTGTGCCGATTAAATTTTACCGGTTGTCGTAACGTTTTGTTAAAACGGCAAAATTATTCTTTCCGTGCAACAATTTTTTTTTGCTGTCACTGTATCAACAAACAATTTGTTGTTCCAGCAGAAGCTCGTCTTCTCCGTGTTTCCGATTTAACGTTTTCTCCAAAACCGTCTTTCCGATATCACCGATATCTCGATCGTTCGTTCCGTTCAACATCGCTTGTCGTTTCCGTAAAGTGTATTCTTCTGAACTAGCTTATATATTTCTATTTCGACGCGAGATTTGCTCGAGTAAAAATTTCGGCCCTGTGTTAAACCTTTAACCTGTAACCTTTAATTCTACAACACAGTAACAGCCAAGATAGTTTGATTCGACTATCTCTCTCTCTCTCTCTCTCGCTCGGGTGTTCGTAAAGGGTTGTCAACGCTCCTCGCTCTCACCTGTACGAGTCGGGCATGCTGGGTATTCCCGGGTAGACGGCAGTGGGAGCGAATCCGTGGTGTATCCTCGGTGGCGAAGGTGGTGCCTGCGGTGGCGGCTGGCCACCGAGTATTCCCGAAGGCGGCGGCGGCGTCGGGTGACCAGCGGCCACCAGACTCACGCCGGCAGTGTGTTGCTGTTGCTGCTGCTGTTGCTGCTGCTGCTGTTGCTGCTGCTGCGGATTGTCCCTCCGTTGCGTGCGCAATTTCTCCTCGCGTCGCCACTTCGCCCGCCGATTCGAAAACCAGACCTGAGTTAGTGAACGAGAAGACAGACGAAGATACAGGTCAATCGCTAGCTACGGAACTTTCATGTCGGCTGACAGTCGTGGATGCAACGTGGTTGCTCCGTTATCACGCGGAAAACTCGACGGCGCCGATTTGTCTCTGTGGGCCTCTCATTAATTATAACGAGATCCTCGTGATCTCGGTGATTTTCTTCGGGTCGACAGGCTTGGTAAGATAATGAAATTGTACGTGCGCACGAAAGGAGATACCGTGAAATCATGCGCAAGGTCAATTTGATGAAGACGATCTGAGATAAGATCGCAAGAAGGGATACCGACGTAACGGAGACACGAGACACCGTTTTCATTCGGAAGCTGTCAACCTCCCTGCAGCCGCGGTACAAAGTCAACGCTCATTAACAGAGTCATTAAGACTTCGGATCAAGTGAGACAATCAAGACGCGTGGATCAGACGACGCAACGATTTCCCGATGCTGAAATTTATAATTGTCAATTCTCAACGACGTTCGCAGCGATTGTAACGGATGGCTACTCGCTGACAACAATTGTTGCGCAACAGTAATTGTCATCGCATCGTAAAAAATGCTCGGCGCTCATCCGACGATCTCGATCGCTTGATCCCATTGAGGTCTATTCGATTCTCGATCGGTTTCACGCACTACCAAATAGTCACCTGTATTCGCGCCTCGGGTAGGCCGATCTTGCCGGCGAGTCTTTCCCTGGCGAACACGTCCGGATAGTGCGTCCTTTCGAATTCCTTCTCGAGAGCGTCGATCTGCTCGTTGCTGAAGCTCGTGCGGTTCCTCTGCAGCTTCCTCTTGAGGCGGAGGCGCGCCTGATCGTCGTCGGCGCCGCCCGAAACGCTGCCGGCGTTGCTGTTGTCACCCCCGCTGTTCGTCTCGTCCGAGTGCGCGCCACCCTCCAGCTCGGTCACTGCAACAGTAAAATCGTAACGTGCACCATTATCAACGTCTTTCGCGCGAGCGATTATTACGGGCCGGCGATCGTCCTCGGTTCGTTTCTCCAGCCAGGCGTGTTCTTGTACTCTCGAAATATCTCGGGGTGAAGTTTCGCCCCAAAAGCGAAGCGACACCAACTCGAGTGATTTTTCACTCGTACAAGGTGAATTAGAATCTGATCACTCTGAATCGTAAAGCGAAGACTTTCACGCGATATTGAAAAGTAAATACGATTTCACTCGGAATCAGAAAATAGGAATAGATTTCTCCTAATCGATCGATATATTCTCTAGCTTGAGTGAAACTCAGATGTCTCGCCGTGCTGAAGTGTCGAGCTACCGATCGTCCTTTCGCCTCTCTCATTGGAACAATGAGCTTTTATTACGAATTTCAACAGTTTCGAATTTTTAGTTTCTCGTCTAATCGAGAAACAGACCCGAGTTGAAATTTTACATTCTACGTTAAGTCTTCAAGTAGAAAAGACGGTGATAACCTTTCTCATTTGTAGCTTCAAAGCAGCACGATGGAACAACCTTCAACACTTGATGTAAAACTAAATTAGACTTAAACTGGGATTCAAATTTCGACTCGGGGAGTTATACATCGTCGAGTGCTGGTGTCAATGTCAGTGTTGGCCTTTCGCTTAACGCTCTCGTCGAATTCAATATCGACGAACAATAACGCGGATATCCGGACGGACGTCATTCTCAGTGAGAATCTGCATGCGTTATTAACGCGCGATTACAAAGGGACGCCGCTCGAGGGTGGTGCCGACGACGACGAGAGATCGGCGGCGCGTTATCGATGTCAGCGGACGCGCGATAACGCGACGCTCGATTTAGGATTTCGCGGGTGCTTCGCTCACCCCGGCTTTCTTATATCAATTCCTCTACGCGCTACGCTCACACGTGTGTGCGCCTCTCTCTTTCTCTTTCTGTGTATGTGTGTATACATGTGGATGTGCGTATGTGGGCGACGAACGGTAGCGGTATAGGCAGGCGTCGCCGGGTGAACCTTATCGTCGGTTTCTGGGTGAGCGCGTCGAGGCATCACCGGGTTTGCTTCGACGACGAGGCGCGCGCGATGAGGGGACGGGGACGCAAGGTAGAGAGAGGAGAGAACGACGGTGGAGGACGCGCGGGCTAGAGGCAAGGGGGTGCCCGATAAGACGACGGGCGTCCCGACGCCAGTCGCCGGCCACCCCCTCACGAGATACGCCACTGTCATTCCGCGCGTCGACCAGCTCTCTCTCCCCGAGTTGGAGGAGCTCGGTGGTGTCTGGCGACACGTGGCATGTTGCCGTCATCGACTCGATTATACGTACTTTGCGTAATTCTACGCTCTGTATACGCTATTTTCTCTCTCTCTCTCTCTCTTTCTCTCGGTACGAGCAAATGCGGTCGTTGTAAATCGCGCTGGTAATAAATTAAAATCTCTCCGAAGTAGGTCTCTTGTGTGTGATTCTGTCCGATTGAAAATAATGCGAACACGACAGGAATGGTTTTCGATACGCTTCGTTGCTTGGGGAGATGAGGGGAGCACGTGGCGTGCGAATGTGGAGAATCCATCTCAACAAGTACCGAAAATAATGATCGCAAACGTCACACATAGAGTAACTCCGATATATTTGCCTAAGGAAAACTTATCAATATTATTATTTAACTATACAATATATTATTATATTGTTATATATACAATATATCATATATTATTATATAACTATACAAATAAAAACTATTGTCTACTGTTATAAAAAAGATTGGAAACACGAAATATTTACTTTTTATATTTAACAGGTCAACTTTTAGAAACTGTCGTATTTCTGCCATACATTCCGCAGGGATATACGGCTTATAAGAAATTTGCAAATAATACTTATAAATAAGACATAAAATGATACAGTAACTTGTTTCACAACATTGCGGACAAATTACTCCCATCCTTTCTACTTCTCTGACTTCTGCGGCGTGAATCCCCGCGCGCAGCGTAAATACCTGCGCAATTACCGCATCTCCGCGATATATTTTAATTACCGCTCGCTGCAGCTTGACGGCCGCAGGTCTCGACGCTCGTCATCGGCCGTATAATCGACGCGACAAACTGACACGCGCGGTCAGAAAGTATCGGGACACAGTTATTTCCGATACTCGTAGTCTCGGAAAACCGTCGGGCGGATCGCTTGCCGCCCGGAAGACGGGTACAACGAAAACGCCCGTAATAATCGTCGTGTAAGCGGCAAAATCCGGGATACATCTTCACCCCTCCCCGGTTCTCCATCCCCCGCCGGAGGATTCGCTCGAGGAAGCTGGCTGGCAGACGGCCACGCTGGTAGCGGCAAAGTTCTCGCGACTCGGCAGGGTTGGTTGGCTGCCTCGAACTTCCTCGCGCGCTCGGGAATCGAGTGCGACGTTGGCGCACAAGTTCTCCGTTTTCCTCTCTTCTCCCCTACCGCGCGCGCCTTCCTTCCTTATCCACCCCCGAATTGCTCCTTCGTAACCGTGCACTGCAAACGATATCTTTAGGGTGGAGGAGAGGGTGGCGGTCCTCTCCGTCAGTATCTACGACGCGGGGTTAACGCTACGAGGGTGTCTTAAGCGGTAATTAAAACCGCCTTATCCCTCCCCGCTCTCACCCTCGTCCTCTCTTGCTCCCGCACTTCCGGAGAACTCGGGGAGCAAGTTCGGGGGGTTCTCCTTGCCGCGGTTGCCGTGGATGCTCCCGTCTTTACTATCACGGCCGGAGTCGCGCCCTCGCCGCTTCCTTCGTCGTTTCTCCGCGCGACGCTCGCGCGCGAGTTTAACGCCGATGCGGAGCTCAGCGCGAGAGCGGCGCACGGGCGTTCAAGAGGAGAGAAACTTGAAGGGCTGCACCGCCGAACAAAAATCCACACGTCAATTCTCCGCGACGCTCTCTTTCCTCCTCTCTCTCTTAAGCGTTAAACGATTACTCGCAGCAACAATGCGAAGATACAACAGTTGGTAAATATCGAGTTGCTCGAGGCAGGGCTGTTTTTTTAATCACGGATCAAACGGTGGACTTCTGTCCATTCAAGTTCGAGAGCATCTCTGTTAATATCTCAATCTTGTACGCTGTAAAATGCCTGAACGGGAATTAGTCGATTAATTCGTGTAAGTTCATCGAGAAACTTTCACATGTCTATTTATACCTCGGCGTGAGTCGCCGAGAAGGCGATCAATTTGATTAACGATTAGCGGCCTTTTTCCGCCGCTCGACGAACTGTTGTGTGAGTTATCGTGGTGAAGCCCTCCTCCGGTAATGGTAACAAATCATCTGGGCGATACTTGTTTGTATTCTTTAATGAACCTTAGCTTTAAATCTCGAGGACGCTGAAAGTGTCACAGCGTCGAATCTGTCTATCTACGTGCTATGGATGGACGGACGCGGAGAGGGCAAGAGAAGACAAAGAACGAAAGAGGGAGAGAGAGAGAAAGAGAGAGAGAGAGAAGGGAAGAGAGGAACCCTCCCGAGTCTCTTTCTCTCTATCTCTCTTGCTCTCATCTCCGTGCTAAAGAACGTTCGTAAGGCAGGAGCTAAACGCGGGACCATTTTGCTCGTGGAGGGGAAGAATCCACGCCATCCAGGCAGCTTCTCTCGTTTCCCCGTTGTCCCTTCGCGTTTCTGGCCCCCAACCGGATCATTCGCATCTTCCTTCAACGAATTATCCGCCAACCGGGAGCTGCCGCGCGTTCGAGCGTGATGGCGGAACTACGTTCGAGGTTTAATCTACCGGCGTCGTCGCGTGCATTCGGCATTTCCCGCGACACTTTTCCCGCACGCGAGATGGTCGCGCGACCGAGCGCTCCTGTGTGTGAACACACGATTTCTACCGGGACCCGAAGATAACCCTCCCTCGATAAGGCTTGACAAGTCGAGGAAAGCTGCGTTCACGAGTTGAAAAGAGGTACAGCGAATTTGTTTCGGTATTAAATAATTCAATGTAAAATTTGCTAGATCAGAAATAATCGATCTTCGGAGCGAAGGTACAAGAGTTGGATTAATATCAATTTCTTCGGAATGCGTCGCAACTCCCGGAAGATCATCTTTCGAACGATTTCTCGTCGTCCGGAATCGCAAAGATCGCAAAGACGATCAGGAAGAATTACTCTGTCTCTCTCTCTCTCTCTCTCGGTTGCTCAAAACATGTCGCGAGCCTTCTCGAAGGGGTCTCCGTTAATGGACTTGGTGGTGCACTTAGCTAAACGCTTTAAAGACCGCGACGGACGAGGGACGGAGAGGGCGAGTGATATTGTTCGCGAACATACTCGCGCGACAATACCGATCGCTATTGCGAGGTCCTATTGTGGCGGGCGGTATCGGTAGTTTACTTTCAATCGTCGCGCGATCGCCGAGAGCCAGCCGGCAAGAATAACAAGAGCGCAGGGAGAAACAAAGGGTCCCGGACGAGAGGGAGACGATTTCAGCCGAGCGCGAGAGGAACTACCTCGCCCTCCTCCTTCGAAAGTTTCTGTTACCCCCGTGCCCTCCTGACTCTTCACGAGAGTCACTCGAACGAGAAGTTAAAAAGAGAGAGAAAAAGAAGGAAGAAAGAAAGAATGAATGAAGAGAGAAACAAGGAAGGACCTTCGGGGGTTTCTACTAATCCCCCTCGTGACCTCGGCGGTGGAAAGTATAACGAGGTGAAATGCATGCGTCGCTGGCATGATCGCTGGACGAACAATGCTACACTTACGCGCGTGATTCGCGACGGTAAACGGTGCGTGCCGCGCGCACGTTTGTCGAGGAAGAGCGCTGCTGCCTCCTCCCTTCGTCCTCTCGAGCGGGCGAGCAACAAACAACGAGCGCAAAAGTGGCGAGCGCAAAGTGGCCGACAGAGCTTCGCCCAGGCGCGCGATTAACGCGGTTCGTTTCCTCCGAGAGAAGAGAGGAACGTTTTCACGGGCGAACCAGGAGGAGTGTTCGTTCTCGATGCGGCGCGCTCAACGATCGAGGCAC